TCTTAAACATTTTTGCAGTGTTTCCAAACATCTCAATCACATTCATTACAGGGAAATGTACAAATCCTGTAACTAAACTACTCCGCAGTGTCACACACCACAGCAGCGATAAATCCTGTGCGCATTTTTGTTGGGAGAGATCACAAGGCTCTCCCTGAAAGTGTGTTAGTCTTTGCGATTCTTGCTACTGATGATGAGATGGCTGAAAGGGCTGGGGAGCGGCTCAGCTCAGCGGTGGTGTTTCACTGACATGGCAGGGGACATAAAATCTGTCATTTTCATCATGTTCTATCGTGGGTAAACCTGTTTCCTGCAGCTTTCTCTATCAGATATATGCCTGTGTGGGTTTATGGCCTTGGAGCTGGGGCAAGCCCGATCGATCTGCGGGAGCTGTAGGATTTAATAGGTGCAGAGTTCTCACTAAGGGGTACAGGGTGGGGAGGGTATATTTAATCACTAAAAGGGAGCAGAGTGGCGAGCCCCGGTCACCAACAGTTTCTGTTTTATGAGAAGTCAAGGTATCAGTTTTCTCCACTGTGAAATATGTTAGGTGATCTATTGTTACTGCTTTTGTATTTCATTGTACTTAATAATTTTAGGCAGCCAGACTGAGAAATTAAACTAAAGTATATTCACACATGTAATGTCTAAGTGCCTAATTCATGATGACACGATAAATTCAGAACTCTACATGACAGAATCTTCATACCTAATCGTGAACCTTATTTTAACTCTAGCTAAGAATTATGTCTTCAAAATACCAGATACAGATTTCATATTAATAGACCATAAGACATGTAAGCTGACAGAGGAATATTTCTGTATTAGTGCATTAAAGAGAAATTTTGCCACCTTCTACGTGGATGTTCAGTCAGTGTTGATGGTAAATGCAGTCTACTGAAGCAGTAAACTTTGAGTGCGTATGTTATTGAGCGAGTTTTTCTTCATCCAGTGCCATCATTTAACGTCACAGTGATGTAGTTGGAAGGAGGAGGAACTACAGACTATTTGGCTTACCTGGGGGTGCGCTCTCGATGCCACTCAAAAGCGGAACTTTATTGTTTTCTTTGCTTGTTTTGCAGACTAGCTACATTTCCAACTGCAAATATGGCCTCCTAAAATATGACTACAGAGAATGTTATGGACATTTTACAATGTTTTGGCAAAGTCAGATATTCAGACGTATGCATTTGAGCCAGAGTTTACAGCCGTAGAAATGCAGCAGAGAGAGGCTGAGGCAATTCTACTATTTTCTGTCTCTCTCTGTGTCTCTCTGACTCTGTCTGTCTGTCCATCTGCTTGTGTGTGTGTGTGTGTGTGTGTGTGTGCGTGCGTGCGTGCGTGCGTGCGTCTCTTTGTCTCTCTTGCTCTGTGTTTGGGCACAACTAACAGCAAGGTTATTTCTTATAAATGCAGTGGATGGGCTGATTTTTGAAACTGTGAAATGTGGGGGTTAAAACAAGGATAATTAAAACTCCAGAAGAACAGCAGGAAAATCAGAAGGGTTGGCAAGCAAGCCCTGCATCTTTTATCATTTATCAGAATCAGATCATATATGTTATATATAAGATATCCTTTATTTGATTTATAATATATTATGAGTGTGTTTACATGCGGCTTGCAGAGAAAATTCACCAGATGCGAAAACTATTGCCGCACATCACAAACTGGCCACGAAGCTGTGCACCACACTGTGGTGCATCAACCTCAGTTGGTTAACATGGGCTCTGAAAGGAAGTGGGCAGTGCTTCCCGGCATTTCTGGATTCTGTGTGAACCCCACCTTGCAAGAGGATATGGCTGGCAGGGACCATAAGCAAAGACTAGCATGTGATGCATACTGGTACATGTAGGCACTGCTGGCACGGCTCTACAAGCAGCTTTCTCGGTCGATATAGCACACACCGTGGAATTTATTGCTTCAATTGTCTACATTTACCACCAACAATTATTAGACATCTACATAAAAGGTGGCAAATTTCCCCTTTAATTTGTGAGCTAATGATCTAAATAGCATAATAAGATACATTCAATGTAATGGTGATTATGGCCCCCATCACATTGAATATATCCGGGACATTAGGCAGCCCAAGTGCCTATTTCTGGTGTTCTTTCTGGTGAATCTGCCACTGAGCAGTGCCATGTTGAACAGTTGTGTGGGCTCTGTACTTACAGGTATACTACAGTATGTAGGAGTTCCTAACAAACAAAATAACGTATGCCAAGCAGACAAAGCTCATTCCAAAATGAGAGTGAATCTGGGTTTGGCTTTCACTTTTGCTGGCGACCACTGAAAGAGAGGATGGGGATAAAGAGCAGCGCTGAGTTGGCCTTTTTTCTGTTGGACAGGTAGATGCCGGCAGTTAACTTAGTTAGCTTGCTAAGGTGTGGGCTTTCCTATTCCAACATTGTGTAGGGAGTTTGAATGTTATGTTTACAAACTGTAAACAACGATTCACTAATAGTACATAGATATGGTAATATTCAGGTTTTTTTTTTTTTTTTAAATTGTCAACAAATTCCATGTAATGATCAAAACCAAAGCTGAAATCAGGTATTGTCAGTTAGCCGAAGTCTGATATAGTATCAAACTTACCCAATGCCACACTGTTGCACAAGGTGACAAGTTCATTCAATACCATGAACACACACATGGTGGTTTGTTTATAGTCAATCCAACATTTACCTTCCTGGTACTGTTAATGCTCACTAGTGCACAAAATGTGGCTTAATCCGCTGGTGAAAATATTTCCTAATAAATACACTATTTACTCCTATTGAATGGTGTTTGTTAAAAACTGTAATGCCCTGCTGTTTTAGAAAATACTTTTCAGTATGAACACTATTTCTACTGTTCATCCTGCATTTGTGGTGATGAAAGATAAAGTTGTTGTTTCCATGATAACTTTCCTTCTCTGATGCTCTTTCATTGTCTCAGCGTTACCTGAAATAACGCCCCCTTGCATTGCGGGTCTGTTTTCAGTGAGTATGGGGTGTGGTCTTACGGTAAATGGACCTGCACTTGTATAGCACCTTTTTAGTCATCTGGCCAATCAAAGCACTTTTTTTTGCTACATGTCACATTCACCCATACATTCACATACTGGCCGAGGCCACCACACAAGGTGCCACCTGCTACTCAGCTTAAACACACATACACTGATGGAACAACCATCCAGAGCAATGTCGGGTTCAATATCTCGCACAAGAATGCTTCGACGTGGGCTGGAAGAGCTAGGGATCGAACCGCCTGTGATCTAACCAAACCGATTAGTGAACGACCTGCTTTACCTCCTGAGCCACGGCCACCCCTGACCTAGTGGTTTAAGACATGTGTCGTTCTGGCTTGAAACCCCAGTTACATGTAACCCTTACCTCTCTACATAACACATTTTGTGTTTCTCTGCAGCGCCAATAGTCAAATGAAGTAATCGTTTTAAAAAGGAAGTGAGTTCAAAGAGTGTCTTTTAGTTTTTCTCATAACAGCAGAGCAAAGTTTATGCAACAACACTAAAACTAGTTTGGATGCATCTTTAAATATGTATTAGGGAGCATTCAGGATCACAGTTGCTTGTAATCAGTTCATTTTTGGTGACTTCTAACAAACATTGATACCTCAATAAAGACACTTTTTACCTCAAATCATTTAGTAGTAGCACATTTGGAACTTGACGAGCCAAATAAAAACACATTAAGGTTCTTAATTCTTCAGAAGGATCCATGTCAGTCAATTCCTTGCTGGTCTAGTCTTCTGCATTCAGCTCTTGTCAGCTGTGTTTTGCTCCAACTCTTCACAGCTTTCACAAACCCCTCGAATGACCTTGAACTTCAGCAGCGCACCTCAGCCCCACACACCCGTCTGCCTAATGCTATTATGCTGGGCCTACATGCTAAAAGTCATTGGTGGTGATAGTGGCTGATTAGATTGTGTCCATTGATCGCGCGGCGTGCTGTTAGGACGAGGACGGTGTGGGCTGCAGCTCCTGCCCCTCCTCCTCAGAGACACTGACAGTCTGAGACAGCGGAGATGGAGCCCCATGCAGGGCAGCAGATTGAGTTATTGATCAGCTCTCTCCTTTCTCCTGTCTCTGTCTCTCTCTCTGCTGCTCCGAGAGACCCCGTCATCAGGATAATGAATTTCACTTATTGCAGATTAACGGCATAAGGTCTGTATGGTAATAATGGCAGAAATTAGCTCTTTGTCACCCCCTCTGGATTTCCAAGAGGAGGGGCTGGGGAGAATAAAGGTTGTTACAGCCCTGTTACTCAGTTTGAGGACTGTGATTTTAACAAGAGTGAAAAGAGAAGAAGTGCATGAAAATGAAAGATTTGTGGGAGAATTAAGAAGAGACTTATGAGGACTGCGATTTCAGCATCACTGAAGTGGCGGAGAAGAGTTCTGATGCAAGAAATTCAGGTTTGATGGAGGAGAGTGAAGGAGAATTTAGAGAGGAAAAGAACGCTGAATAGCAGGCTGCTCTGTGAAAAAAAGAGAGGGCAAAGAGGAAAGATGAGAGCGGATGATTCAAAAGAGACGTAAAGAGATGGCAAAGCAGGAGCGATAAAGTGGAGGAGAGAAAGTAAGAAAGGCAGTGGTCATACAGTCACGAGGCAGCAACGCCGCTTAAGGGTCGGCCATTGTGTCTCCAGCATCCAGATTGGGGTGGTAAAGAATGAATAATGAGGCTTGATTACAGTCCGTGAGATGGCACATTGTTCAGAATCAATCCTCCAGGCAATTACGGGAGGTACAAACAGCAGCCCTCAGCCTCAGCCCGGACAGAGCGGGTAGCGATTGTGTCAGAGGACAACATCATCTTCGTCAATGACTTGTTGCCTCCTCGTGTCGGAGCCATTAGCACTTACTCTTCTCCTCTGCAGCACATTCAGCTGCCCACGTAAAAGCCTCCAGTTCATGTGTGTGAGCATATAAGGATGCTTTTCCTTATTGTATACACAAACACAGTACATAATGGAGTGCACGTCCCCTTCTCGTTTCAGGTATGGTTTTGGGTTGCTGGATGCAGGGCTGATGGTGCAGCAAGCCGTGCACTTTAACACTGTTGCCCCACAGAGGAAGTGCACGCAAGAAGTTACAGTCCATCCTATCAGGTAAAAAGCTTTATCGACTACATACTGTATGTTTATGTAACCCCATAGCTGCTGATGTTTTATTTGTATAGTGTCTTACTGATTTTTGTTGCTTATATATTGTCATTTATATCTTAATGTTTTCTTTCAAGGTTTTCCTAGTTGTGTCACATTACTTTATGGTCTTCAACAGAACAGGAATCAATAATCTTTCATCTCGTCGTCACCTACACTGTCACTGCTTTGTCTGTAAGAGAGGATGCATGTGTATGTGTGTCTGATAAGCATGAGAGAAAGAGGTCTGGCTACTGACTGACATGGTGTTTATTGGTTAGGATCATTTCTCCAGGAGGCACTGTCAAAGTGAACATCCAATCAGAGGCCTGCCATGGGAGGACTAATGAGATCAACACTCTGGAGCACGTTCAGGTCAGGCAGCAGTTCAAAACACACTCAGATGGCTTGACCATGTACTACATTGTTCGAAAATCTATTTATCTCTCTATCTTTTCTATTTTTTAGGAATAACTTTAGTATGAAAATATAGAGAGATATAAAGCTAGTTGCTTTATAACCAGCTTCATGAGTAGCGTAGCTTAGAAACAACAGGTAGCCTGGCTCTCTCCATGAGTACCAAAATCCACCTGCAAGCACCTCTGCAGCTCACTAATTAAACAATCTCCTCAGGACTTTGTGGGCTGTTTTGGGGTTTGTTGTGTCCAGAAATGCCTGATTTCACCAATGCCATTGCTAGGGCAAGTGAAAATTTAAAAAATAATTGTGATGCTTTAGCTGAGCCTATCATTATGAGCATTTAGTGTTTCCCATAGAATTACAATCTATTTGTGATGGTGTGGGAGGTGGGGAGACAACAGCTGATTGCCAGTGATCAGGTGTTTCTGCCATTTGATGCAGCACTGAAGGACTGTCTCCATGAGCTGCTTTCCTCCTGATCTCTCTGCCTGGTTAGCACAAGCTAAGACAGCAGCAGCAGATAACATCCAACAATGAGCCGTCCCAACAGTCGCACACAGACACAGAAACGGCTCAAATCTGTTGTTAAACCTGTTGGGTAAAATACTAGGGGTGTAACAATCCATCGAACTGGAACGATATATCGATTAAATGATCAGCAATCCAATGTCATCGACGCAAAGTGAAAACATCGATCTATATCGGTCATGGTTAGTAAACGCTTTTATTTTGAAAGATTGTGTCGCCGTCAAACAGTGGCGGGCAGATGGCAAGCAGCTGAGAGAAAGACGATGAGGATAACGTTATTTAATTGGGAATAAGTCAGCAGTGTGGAAATATTTTGGATTTCGGAGAAAATACAGGTAAGAGCAGACAGAGCACATGGTGAATGTTAACAATGCTGTTACGAGATAAAACACCATGCAGAGCTAAATGGTAAACAAACATGGCACCACACCAGTAAGGTAAGACAACACGTTTTCATGTCATTTTCTATATGTTCTCTGACATTTATCCTAACGATATGAGGCGGTCTTTGTGGAAAAAAGCTTGTTTAGTGGACTAACTTTGCACTTGATGGTATGCCCGTTCACTTACGTTTTAACAGGTCTGACACTACTAATGTGCCCCGGCTGTATCTAGGCTAACGGCTAACATGCTAACTATTATTTCTATGTCACTAGTCACTTGAAACGAATTTAAGACGATAGGAGACGGGTTGAAATAAACTGAAATTTCCCTTTAAGCTAATAATTGGTGACCAGCAAAAAAAACAATTCTTTCGTCCCTGAACCTTGACAGTTATTATTGAGCTGAAGTTGATATTTTTGTTAAATCATCTTGTCGTTAATCCATGTTTCATGGCTGTTTGGAGAAGTTTGCCTTCAGGGCTTTAAGCCAGATAGTCCTGATGTTTTAGGAAACATATGATGGTTTGTGTTAAAATGAAAACATTTCAACCAGCAAGGACTTTCTGGCAGAAATCCCTGAATGGTAGCTTATCCCATGTGCTGTTTTATGTGTGCTAGTGGAGTCAGTTTAAAGTTAACTTCACTGAATGTAAGCAGTTAGAGTTTTTTTTTTATCTTTTATGGCCCAAACCATAAATGTAAGGTGTGGCAGCTTCCTCTGTAACTGACTGTGTTAAATGGGCATATAATATCATCTCATATCTGTCATAGGCCCCTAAATTGCCTCAAAATCGTATCGTGGCAGACTTTGTAATATCAGCAAATATTGTACCGTTGTCTAGAGAATCGATATAATATTGTATCGTGATGAAACTGGTGATTTACAGTCCTATAAAATAAGCCATGTGACTGTTAGCCCTGTCACTGTGTGTGACTGTTGGAGGCACGGAGCTCACACAGTAGCATCATGATAAACAGAGAAAAGAGAGAGTGGGCTGAACGGATCAATACACTGCACAGCGCTACAGTGAAATGAGATTTTACCGGTTCTAAATAGTCAAATTTGCTGTGAAGTTGTGGTGATTGGACAAAATTGCAAGGCTTTGCAAAACTCACTGGGATTGGCTGAATTTGTGTTGTATCCTGGAGGGGCTGATGAACATGTTATATCTTGTTTGTTTAATCCGTACCAAATAGTCTCGCACATACCCCCTGTTAAACCACAACTTGTTGTGACTTTACAGGGTTTCCAGTCTTTATGATAAGTTAAGATAACTGGCTATAGGTTTATATTTAAAGGACAGATAAGAGAGTGGCATTCATCTTCTCATGTTACTCAGGACAAGAAAGCAAATAAGAATTTAAGAATTGTGGAACTATTCCTTTAAAATGTGGAAAGGTGAAATGGTCATTTTTCACCAACAGTATAGATATTTTCTTGTGTACTTGTATTGTGGTTCTGCTGTAAACTGCCTCTTACAGCCCTCAAGTGTTTCCTCCTGATCTCGACATCATACAAATTAAGACATCAGTGTTTTGAAAACTTAACTTCTGTCCACAATCAGGGACACTTTTTTCATACAAATCGTTTTCGTTGTTTCTTTGTCATGTGATCTATCTGAGAATAGAAGAGATAAAAAAAGGATCATACTGTGATGTGTAATGTGTTGGCTGTGTCATTTGCAGAAAATGGCAAAACTGTTTTCTTGAGTACAGGCACATACATGCAAATGTGTTTATGTTTGACTGTGTCAGCAGGCATACGTACTGTGCGTGTCTGTGTACGTGCACATTTGAGTTTGTGCGAGTTATCCGTTTGTGAGTGTGTTGTGTGTACTTGTGAAATAGCAGGAGAGAGAGAGAGAGAGAGAGAGAGAGAGAGAGAGAGAGAGAGAGAGAGAGGGAGCGGGAGTGTGTCAGCATGTAAATTGAAAAGGCTTCATCTTTGCGGCTCTGCTCCCTGGCAGAAAGCGTGGGTCAGGCCATCGCTGCGAGGTGTGATTGATGGACGTGTTGCCGTGGTAACACGCTGTAAACAGGAGCGGGCTGTCAGTCTTTTTGCAGCTTGGCGGCTCTCTCTGCGATGTGCCATTGTCACACCAGATGTGCTGCTTGTGATGAACAGGGACAGGGAGAGTGTTTACTGGGTGGGAATCATTGGGGTGGGGGGCTGGAGGGGTTGCATGTGCGTCTTTAAATCATTTAGCTAATATTCCCCTCAGCCACTTTTTTCACTGTGTCTTCTCTTTCTGTGCCCTACTTGTCTTTGTCTTCATCTTCGGGGGACAGAGGACAGATCATTGGTTTGTCCATCTGTCTGACATGTACAGTATCTCAGACAAGACTGACTAGATTTGCATTTAAACTTGGCAGGTTTACCGTATTGGCCTAATCATCTGGGTGTCACACATATTAATAATGATCACCAAAATCCAGTCCTTTTAGTGATCGGTCTGAATTGGTGTTGCTTCACATTTAAAGGCATTGTTCATATTTTAGGAAATATGCATATTTGCTTTCTTGCAGAGAGTGTCATGAAAAGATTGATGCCACTCCCATGTCTGTACACAAAATATGACGCTAGCTTTCTTTAACACAAAGACTGGAAACAGGGAAACAGTTAACTGAGCTCTCTATCTACAGGTAACATAATCTGCCTAGCAGCACGCCTAAATGTCACTAATTAATGGGTAACGTCTTGTTTATTTAAATTGTACAAAAACCAAAGTGTAAAAACAACAAAATGGTTTTATGGGGGTGTATGTACAGGACTATTTCTTGGCCGGGTGCAAGAGTTTCTTGGAAACTTGTCGTCACTGTAGAGTTGCCATGCAAACAGTACAGCTGAAAGTCACCAAGTACAAAAACTAAAAAATGTTGTTTTCACGTGTTTTTTATATGGATTAAACAAACCAAACATAACATTTTAATTCGCCAAGCTAATTACACAGCCAGCATAGTTGGTTTCCACGTTGTCAGTCATTATACTAAGCTAAGCTAACTGCTTGCTGGCTCCAACCTCATAGTTAGTGTACAGACATGAGAATGATATTTATTTTCTTATCTAATGCTCAGCAAGAAAGCAAATACGTCAAATGTCAAACTATTATCTTAGGTAAAAATGCAGGTTATCAGTAAGTAAATTGTGTTTAAATGACTAGTCTTTATTTCACTAAGTTCCCTCACATTCAGTAAACAGCCACAGGGAGCCATATTCTGATGACCTGAAAGATAACATGTTTACATGTTGTTCTGTCTCTGTCCCCTCACCTTGTCTCTCTTGTTTTCCCTATCTCTCTATCAATCTCCTTGTTCACACCTCTTTCCTTCATTTATTTTTGGCCACCTGTCTCTCACCAGGTGAGAGTGAGCATCAGCACCGTGTGTCGCGGTGACCTCTCCATAAGCCTGGAATCTCCAGCCAGCACTGTGTCAATGCTGTTGGACACACGGCCCAACGACGCCTCCACTGCTGGCCTGAAAAACTGGACCCTGATGACGGTGCACTGCTGGGGGGAGCAGCCACGAGGCCTCTGGACCATCAAG